ACAGGGGAAAAAACGAAGCGCGAAACGCGCGACAAAAAGCGGCTAGTCCGATTGTCATTAGCAACGCTCGAGTGGCCAGAAAATCGGGGAATTGTTTGAATGCGGGAAACTGGCCGCAAAGCATGTTGAAAAAAGAGCAGGGACTCTCGTTACCATTATACGAAATTTAACAGTTTCGCTGGGAGGGTGTGCCGCGTTCGTATCGATTGCGACCTATATAAAAGATTACGTCTCCAACCCCTTCCTCGCTCCCCTCTTTTGTGGGGATATAGGTTCCCAGCTGTTTTCGGCATTCCTTTCATAGCCGATGGAAGCCGGGAATGATCGAGACCGACAACGTACAGTTAGTTCGATCGCGTATTCCTTAAGTTCTTAGAAGAAAACGCGGCGCGGGGGTGGCAATTTTTCTCGAACGAGTATTCTAGGCCGGAACTGACGTTCGTTCGATTGGCCGAGGAATGTTTATCCCGAACTATTTTCGTGGGACACCGAGGTGAAACGAACCGAGCGAGTGACCGTCCGGTGAATTACTAAATTATGCACAACCTTTCCGCGTATACTATCCCCCGGAATACCGAGGGTGAGATGTTTACCCCTGTTTTCCTATCTCTCTTCCTGCTCTCCTCTTATTCCGTGCGGCAAATGAAGCGCGTGAATTAAAAGCCAGCTCGATAGCGAACCTGGCTCAGGAAACGGTTGTCAGCCGCCTATCGTCACCGACGACGTGCTCTTTCCACCCACCCCGTGCAAATAAAGAAAAAAAAGGGAAACTTCTGAATGCGGTTGGATAAAGGGAATTAAATTAACGGGTAAACTCGCATACCTCTAAGAACCTCTGAGCTTTCGTGGCGCGGAAAAGGTGTCGGCAGGGAGAGAAGAATTAAAGGGTAAATTGTTATCGAAGATCCGTGAGGGGAACAGGGGCGGATGCAATGGTGCAGAATGTTCCTGCGAATGAATTAAACCGAGGAGGGAATAGTAAGAATTGTACGATGTATATGAATTGATGCATTTCCTTGGAGCGTGTAAAATTTTATATCTTTTTAACTGCATCTGAAACACGGTTGACTGGTCCAGTCGCTGGAATCGTCCGATACATTTACGATAATAAACGTGAGAAACAAGTACTGAAAGAGTCGAGAGGAATTAAAAATACGTTCCTCGTCCGAAAGGAATAACCTTTCCGTATTGTTGTTGGACGCTTCGAACTGGTTAAATATTACGATGACTAAAATATTTTTGGATTCGGTATAGCGGTCGAGTGTTCCATGCCCTTTCACAGGAAAGTGGTTTAATGGCGACAGTGATTTAGCGTCGACGAAGAGCTGCGATGCATTGAAAAGTTCACGGGATGATACTATGTATCGTAATGGTGTGACCCAGGTCACGAAATACTGTCTGCGAAATCCATTGTACCTGATGCAACTTTCAGAGAGTGCGGCCTCGTAAATGTCATATTTCGTGCGCGAAACCAACCGATAAAGCTCGTGTACTGGTTCACGTCTCGTGTCTTCGGGCCGGAAAATACGAAATATTCCGTAGCCAACGTTGCAAATCCACGAAAACGGGAGAGAGGATGATGTAATATTTAAGTAGTTCCAGCTCTTTAATATTCTGCCCAGTGAAACGGGAGCATAGTTCGCGAATTACACTATACCTGTATTTTACACGATACATTATGGATTTTGCGAAAGGGACAGAAGGAACTGTCGTGCTCTACGCTACGTCTATTTGACAATGAAAAATTGATAATAATCAAATGACAAATATCTAGGAGAATACGCACTGTTTTATGCCAACCTAATAATTTGAAATGACATGAAAATTCATTTCGTGCAGAAGAAACTATATTACGTTTCATATTAGATAAGAATTATATCGAATTAGTTGCACTTTCTACTACATGAAATTTTACTTGATCGAGTATATTACAAACGTAGAAAGTCCGCAGTTTTGTTGGATGGATCAATCGCTCGAAACTGCGTTTTTAATGTGTTTCCATGTATATCGGTCACGAATACATATATCTACCTCGTTCAATCATTTCGTCAGATCAAAATACGTCTTTATCTTTAGAGAGCTTTAATGATTGGTGATCGCAGAAAGTCCGTGCAAAAAGGTTAAGTGCAAAATTGTACATATCGAAACCATATTAACCTCATTTCGGCTCATGGAACGTCGTAACTTTGTCGCATGAATAGAACTTTACGTAAGCGGAGGAACGGTTGTTATCGATCTAATTTCAAAAATGCAGCAAACATTGTTCCGAAAGAGTGTTCAGCAGCGTCGCACGAATGCACGAAAAATATCGTAGATTCGATTGGCAGTGAACCGAGCGTCTCCGGCTAACGACAACCGTTTCAGTTTGACAGGCGAGAAACATTCGCGTCGAATTACAGTACATTGCAACGCAATGTATAAGATAGTAAGTATCGTCGTGTCACAAATGAGATTAACCCCAGGAAGACAGAATGTATGCAATAAGAGAGACGGGGATCGTATCAGGAGAATTGCAACGTTCGATAATTAAATAACTGTTCATAAGATGATACTCACCTATCTTTTCTATCTTCGAGAACTTCACCTTCGGCGACAGGAGAAGTAACCTTCTTCTCGCCAGGCATTTCGGAGCCGCCTTCCTCAGCCTTCTTGCCCATCCATGTTGAAACTTGATTCGTTAATCCGGTGAACATTTTCAGTTCAACTGCGTCAACTGTCTCAACACTATGTGCGTGATATATCTCTCCTTCAGCTCTTCCTATCTCCTACGCTAGCAGGAACGTTACTGAATCCCGTGCGGGCTCGGAATGACGGGAGAACTTGTTCGTTTTGATAAGCGCGCAATCATGAACTGTACACCTTCTATAGATGCTGGTCTGTTGCAAGCTGCAGCAGTAATTCTTGAACTTGTCGCTAGAGGGCTATGAGTTGAGTCATCGTTCGGTATCGTATTTAATTTTAAATATTATGTATGCAATCGTTGATAGAGTTTAGATTGAAAATAAATGAAAATTCAGACGATTATGATTATGTAACTTAACTAAAAGGTAAGCTTCATGGAATTTATCGTTTTCATGTATCAATTATAAAATGAATGCGAGATTCACAAGTCAAGGTTTAGATTGTTTTGTATTTGTTTTTTTGTATTGTCTTTTATACTTTTTTAATTGCAATTGACTGTTATCATTGAAAACCATAATTTCAGAGTAAGATATAAAATACAATAAATGAGCGAATCATTTATTGATATTTGTAATAAATGGTACACGCAGGATATGAATGCAATAATGTATACTATCCATAAACTATCATGACATAAGAGAGATCTCTCAGATTCATTTCGCGTAGTTAGGAAGTGTTGACAAGTATTTTGATTACCGGTGTAGAATGAATCAGGAATCAAGCGGAGAAAGATTTAACTTGTTCAACAGCCTTGCAATTTTATTAAAAGCTGTTGAAAATGAGAAAACAACCGTGGACCTTCGGAACGAAGCATCAGTTTATGGAACTATAGAGCATTCAGACGCGTAAGTAACTTTCCTTCGAATGTTTTTGTTGTCATCATTATTGGTACAATATTATTTAAGATTTTGTCCCGTTGTCACAGTTTCATGAACATTGTAATGAAGGATTGTGTTTTCACTGATCCTAGAGGAGATTCTTACAATTATGATATGTTCTTCGTTCAGGCAAGAAACATTCGCTACGTTCATATTCCACCAAAAGTAAGATTTTAAAAAATAAACATTTTTTTTATATTTCTACATAATATCATAATCTTATATAATATCAGGTTATATTTTAGATAGAAACAATGTTAAATAGATTCTAAAAAATAACCCTTAAAAGAAATAAGAAAGTTTCTATTTACATAACTGTTACTTCTAGGTATTTTTGACCTTGTAAGTTGTCTATACAACAGTTGATTAAAATTTGATCTTAACATTGACAATATATTTATTATCAAACAAACACTCATATTAAAATTATCTATAAATAAAATATATATTAATTTTTACCCATTTGAATTATTCCCTTCATAAAGTTTATTTTACAAATATGATAAAAAGTTTACGTTTACTACATAAGCCTTTACTGATTTATCTTCAAGTAGGATCTACTAATCTTGAAACAATAGTAAAATTAAACAAACCTTCTTGTTTTTTCACACCTTATATAAGTGTTAAACATTTTTGTACAACAGTGTCACTTTTTCCATCTATGAATGTGAAAATGAATATGTTTAAGTTTCTTGATTACGATTGCATTGGGTTTGATTTAGATAACACACTGTTACGTTATAATGTAACAAATTTGGTGCCATTGGTATATGAAACTTTGGCCACATATTTAATAACAGAGAAACAATATAATGGAAAATATTTATCAAAATCTTTGGAAGATAAAGACTTAGATTTCATGCAGAAAGGATTATTTTTAGACTTTGAGAGAGGAAATATTCTTCGAATAAGTCCTGAAGGTTTAATTCAAAGGGCATGTCATGGAACACATTTATTAAGCATTGCAAAGATTAAAGAAATATATCCCAACCAAAAATGGGAAGCTACTGATGCCTTTTGTCATGACATGTTGTCAACATGGAATGGTCCTATATCAATGAAAATGAGAAGCTTGTTAGATTACTTTGATATTTCGACATCTCTCATTTTTGCCAGATTAATAGACACTCTTGACAAAGAGAATGGAGGACCTTTAAATACATATAATGTTTGGCCTGATATATTAGATGGATTAATTGAAATGTATAATAGGGATCATTTTAAACTAGATAGGGGTTACTTCTTCCCTAGTATAAAATCAGATCCTGCAAAATATATACGTAAATGTAGTCCAGAAACTATATCATGGCTTAAAGAATTGAAAAAACATCGTGTTACATTTCTCATTACGGGATCAAATATTGATTTTGTTGAATGTACCGCTTCATATGCTTTTGGAACAGATTGGAAATCTCTATTTGATATTATTATTTGTTATGCGAGAAAGCCAGGTTTTTTCACCTGTGAAGAGCCATTTTTACAAGTTGTAAATAATCAAGAAGGTGACATAGTAGAGACTAAAGATTTAAAACAGGGTGGGATATACAGTCAAGGCAATTGGAAAGGACTTGTTGAATTCCTTGGACATGTATCAAAACAAAATAATCCTCGTTGTATGTATGTTGGAGATAATCTTATACAAGATATCTATGTGCCCAATGCATGTATACAATGTGATACAATAGCTGTAATTGAGGAACAAATGTCAGAAGGAATGGTTCATCAAGGATTGTCACATCCAGATGAAAAAATATTAAATTCAACACTTTGGGGTTCTTATTTCTGTTTGAAAGATTGTGATATTAGTACAGATTCATTTTGGGGCTTCATTATAAAGAAACATACAAAATTATGTATACCAGAAATAGATGTAATTGCTCAACAACCATTAGAAGAACTTTATTCGTGTTTTAATAAGCATGGAAAGGAATATGATGGATATTATCCAGCTATTCCACTTAGTATATCAACATTTTAAAATTTTAAATAAGTTAACCATTAATAAGTTAATAATTTAATAATAATATTATAATATTATTTTTATCAACTTGTATAAAATGTAAATATCAATCATTAATGCATTAAATATTTGTAATATGAACATATGCTTGTCATATTTATAATATATTCTTAATTTAAGATACGTATTATACCAGCTATCAAAGAAAACATACAACATTTAATAAGCAACAAGAGAAATGTACACTATACTAAACGCACGTTTAGAAGCATACGCACTGAACGAACCCAAAGAGAGGGACTTGCTGCAATGGAGAAAATCTTGGATGAAAGAAAAAGAACAGATAAAGATTCTACGAAGAGGAAAACTGAAAAAAATTGAATAATGAGAGGATCTGTATTTTTGTATAATTTTATAGATATCATTTTATTTATTTACAGTTTCATCTTTGATGTATAAAAATAATTTCTCTATAAATATACATTGCACAAAATTTTGTATAAATGTAATTATAAATACATTCATGTAGTACACAATCATACCTATGTCTGTATATTCTGTACCAAAATTTGACTATTCAACAAATTGTCAATAGAAAAGTTTTAACTTTTTACAAGAAATACTATAATAAAATATTCGAATAAAGGATAATAACCAGGAATATTGTATGTTTACAAGTAGAAGTTAGTTCATGATACGGATAATAAATTTTCTTTAAACAACTGACGTACCCCTATGACCATGAACGTAAATCGATTAATCGATCCAGTATTGAACAATTTATTCGTTCTAACGGTACGAATACTCGTGTACGATGGTTAGTTACAAAGCAGATTCTATATGTGACATATAGATTGTATTAAATTCAAATTGAATAAAGTATGTAATCCTGCTGTCGATCTTACGATAGATAAATAACTTCTCCTTTATAAAGATAGAACAAAACGTACATACTATATTTCATTAAAACCAACAAAATATGGCATAAAGTATGAGAATCAATTCACATAAAGAATTTTCTACGTTAATCGGCTTTTATCAAAATGAACAGATAAGTACTTATGTACCAAAAAAGGACAAGGCTGCTAAGATATCCACGATACATAGTCATGCCGCAGTTTCAGGACTAAAAGATAAACTAGAAATAATTGGATTTTATAGTGAACTAAAATCTAATGAAAATACAAGGCACCAAAGTGGTCAGTCAATGTAGCACAAATACGCGAACAAATGAATGTTCATTAGTATTTTCCTTCAGTAATATATCAGATACTGCTGCTTTTGTTCCTTATATTATATATATATATCGAAAGTAATAGCCTTCTACAAAATAAAACAAATTATCGTCATATACTTATATCATCTAGTAGAAGTGTTGTGTTTTCCAATTATAAGAAATTGGTTGTTAAACACATACATAACAAGGCATTTTTTTACAAATGTACCAACTGGAAAGTGTCAAAAAATGCGTCAAAGTTACGAGAATGTTTAAAGAATGTCTATTATTATAAATTAATAAATAAACTAATCAAGTAATTTATATTTTGTGTTGGTTGCCCATAAAATTTTCCTACTCTTTCTATTTTCGCTATTAAACTACAATTTTCGCAATACGGGTACCCAGTTATCTCTATTATTTGTTACGAGCTTGAAGTCTTCATATTTATAATTTTCAGCGTATATTTTTATGCAGTAAATACGAATCAATGCAATATTATCCACAGAATTAAAAATGTAGTTTTGCAATTTTTTTAAATGGAAGGTGAAAGTAGATGTCTAGGTACCCAGTTATTGACAAAACAGTTAAGCACCAACAAACTTCAACCTTTGCAGTATAAATACTTCTAATTGACTTAAGTGTTCATTATTTCCTTTGAACAGCTATAGCGATTCCCATTCCACCACCAATACATAAAGCTGCAACACCTTTCTTGCCTCCAGTCCTTTCCAAGGCATGTAACAAAGTTACTAAAACTCTAGTGCCTGAGAAATGATATTTCAGATATAGTACAAGTATTAATATAATCTGTTTATTAACATGTTTTATGTACCTGATGCACCAATAGGATGACCTAAAGCAATGGCTCCCCCAGATATATTAACTTTAGAGGTATCCAAGTTCAGTGTTCTGACACATGCGATTGCTTGTGATGCAAAAGCTTCATTTAATTCATACAAATCCACCTCTTCCTTTGTCCAATTCGCCTTTTTCAGCTGAAATATTTATTTAGCATTACATTATAACATAATTTTGAAAATACAAATTGTTCATACATATTGGCAAAATTATTGTATCTACTAACCACTATCTCTACTGCTGGAATAGGACCTGTGCCCATAACTCTTGGTTCCACTCCTGTTTGAGCTACTGCAACTATTGTGCCTAATGGAGTGAGTCCTTTTTTCACTGCAGTTGCTGCTGACATAAGTATTACTGCTGCTGCCCCATCATTTATTCCAGAAGCATTGCCAGCAGTGACAGTACCATCAGTCTAATTATACAAAAATTAAAATAATTACTATATTATTAAATAATTCAATTTATTGAAAAAAGGGAATGCTATACCTTTGTAAAGGCAGGTTTTAATTTTTTAAGTGTTTCAGTAGTTGTTTCAAACTTAGGAAATTCATCTTTAGATACTATAATAGGTCCTTTTCTAGTGGGCACTTTGATAGGGATAATTTCTTTATTGAAATATCCTGTAGTTATTGCAACTTGCACTTTTTGCTGAGATTTAGCTGCATATTCATCTTGTTCTTCCCTACTTATCTTGAAGTCTTTAGCAATATTTTCAGCTGTAAATGATATAATACATTGATAAATACACTTATGTAATGCATATAATGTTACAGGAATTCAAATGAATATAAAATGTATATGAATTGGAATGTGGTTTTTGTACCTGTTACTCCCATATGAACACCATGGAATACATCTGTTAAGCCATCTGATATTAAAGAATCAGAGAAAGTACACTCCCCCATTTTAATACCATTTCTGAAGTATGCTGTATGTGGAGCTTGACTCATGTTTTCCTGACCACCAGCTACAACTATCTGGCTTTCACCAGCTTTTATGGCTAAAAAACCATTGATAACTGCTCTAAAAAAGACATATATTCTTTGTAGAAGACATACTGAATACCAATGTGCAAACAAATTTAAATTTAAAAGCTTGGCTGCGATAAGAGTAGCATTGACGCTGTAAAGTTTTTACAAAACAAAAATTCAGTATTTACTTTAAACCGGATCCACATAGCATATTAATTAAATGAGCAGGTACAGATACAGGAATTCCAGCATTGATAGATGCTTGCCTTGCTGGGTTCTGACCTTGCCCTGCAGTTAATACCTAAAATACAATTGTTTGCATGCATTATAGCATTTAAACATAATTATTGTTATATAACAAATTACTTATGTATGTTATCTGTATAATTCATGTATATCTTTTATACTTTATGGAAATTATGAACTTCTTCAATCTTACCCATTAAATATAAAAAAATTACCATATTTCATTAAGCTATCTATTGTATGCAATAATTTGAATACATTGCTTTAATGAATAATAAACTATGAGTTTAGATTACCTGTCCTAAAATGACTTCAGAAACTTCATTGGGATTAATATTAGCTCTTGCTAAACTTTCTTTAATAACGATAGACCCCAAATCTGATGCTTTCATTGAAGATAAGGATCCACAAAATGATCCTACAACAAATACAGTTTAAAGAAATTTGAAATGATGATTAATTATTAAATATGATATTTAAATACTTATTAATTTGATTCTGTATTTATTAAAATATATACGTAGAACACTATATGCAATAACAATACATTCTGATTAGAATTTAACAAGTTTTTCTTAGTTATAGTTGGTTGTTAAGTAAGTGAAAGTGCCATCAAGATCTTCAGGACCTCTTTTATAAAGTCTATATGAATACACATTTCTAAGTCTATAAAAATGAAATTTCTGAATTTACAACTCATTGATTAGTAAAAGAAATTCAAATCTTACTGATTGTCAATATATATTAGGTCCATTAAGTTTAACACAGAGTATATTTTAAATTGAAAATTTGATTGTTTATATGATGTTATTTAAAATGGGTTAGTAGTATGTCATGGAATGAATGTAATAATTTTCACTTATCAGAAGATTTTACTATATAAGATATAAATTTATACCTATGGGTGTTCGAACTGCCGATACAATCACAACGTCACTTGCACTCATGTTGAAATCGTGTTAGAAATTACGTCCAAACTTAAGGAAAACTGAACGAAGACTGCCGCCACGGGCCTATATAACGGAAATAAGTTAGCAGCCGATGTGGTGACGACGTGTGCCAGTAACGGCATATGAAAGTGTGTCAAACGAAATCTAGCCGCATCCTTCAGTGGATAGTTACTTACACAGTTCTATCTGGCAATTTTGATCTGTTACATTCGCTTTAAGACTACCCTAACGATTCATTAAAATTTCATATTTAAAATAACATCGTAACCTACGTATACTCGCAACATCTATCTACATCAATATTATTCAATCAACAATTTTTCATTTATTCCAACATGACATAAAAGAATAACAATTACAAAATCCAAAACAGAATCCCATTATTTTCCACGCGTATGAAGATAATTACAATGGATCCCATCGGTGCCTTTATTATCTGAACCACCGAGACGTCCCTGACCAACGTCACCGGCGGGCAGACTTGAAATTCAACGTACAGGTGGCGCTGAACCACCAATCGTGGCGCCGTGGTGGTGCTCGTTTGTTTTTACCCAGCGTGCATTGTGACCAGTGACTGGTGCTAAGATGGCCGACAACAAGGAGGAGATTTCGGAGCTCGTCGAAAAGCGAGGTATTTATTGCGGTTCTTCGATTTACTTGTCGTGATTGCGGTACGATATCGTGCTACGGATCATGGCGAGATCGTTGGTGTAGAGGAACGGCCGGTCTGATCCGTAATTGCCATAAAAATCACGCCATCTGCACGTACAGTGCCCCAAGGAGGAACGATCGCGAAAATCGTCGCGAATGTACCAACGAATCGGGCTCGTTTTCCGTGTCTGTCGCAACGTTCACGGTGATCGCGGCTGGTTAACCTGACCCCCGTTGACAGGGACACGCCTGTCAACGAGACGTCACAACCGAGCAGTGCCAAACATGCCACCTTTTTGACAGGGCTACGTGAACACGCTCTGCTGCACGACACCCTTCGCGCAGCGTGCGTGTAGTACGTGCGACCGACCAGCAGACAGAACCACACACACCGTGCTTGTTCTCTTCTCGTTGTGTGTCCGCCTAAGCGCTATGCTCGTTACTCATTAAGGTCATACATTGACGGCCTTGCAATTCGCACCGTCGCTCAAGTAATCCCTCGCCCGAGATTACCGTTATCTCTTGCCGCGAATTTACTGCCGGCTGATTCGTCTAACACCTACGCTCCGGCTGCCGTATAGATATATTCGTATACTACCGAGAGACAGAGATAGAGACGACGAAGACGTCCACGGGGAAGGGAGAGAAAGAAAGAGAGAAAGAGAGAGAGAGAGAGAAAACGAGAGAGAAAGAGAGCACACGCGTGCGCGCGCGCGCATGTGCTCGCGTATGCGTTACCCACGGATTCCCGATCGGTGGCATTCGAACGTTGTATTCGAGCACCACCGGGTCCCGTGGTGGACCTGCACGGGGGAGGTGCAACGTGTCCGCCGCTACTCGCCAGACAATAAATACACGCGTTCTATCGCGATAGATCGTCGCCGGTAAAAGAGAATATCGGCCCGGTAATCGATTGCCACTTGATGGTGCCACGTTCTCCTGCCATTGTGCGCCGCGTGAAACTTGCTCCTCGCCGGCGGGCGTATTATTATCCGTGGACACGTTTTATTTGATTCCTAGAATGGTACCGACTGGAACTTGGACAAAAACAATCGGACGATGATGGTCGCCGGGTTCGTTCGATCTCGTCCGCATCGTTATCGGGAAACCGCATTTGGCGAACGGTCGTCGTGGTTTCGTATACAGGACGTTGCATGCGTCGAATTTCCCGGTGACATTGTGGAACGATCGCGGTGCGACCTTATGTACGTTATCGAGACGATGGAATGTTTAAAAATTGTTATTATCAGTATTTAAAGTCGTTCAGACGACCTTGGGCAGTCTGTTATTTTTGAGTTTGCCGTTCCGTTATTTATCTTTAATAATTGCGATTAAAGTATGATATTTACTATCTGTATATCTTATTTTAACCTGTGCGCTGTAGTTTACGTTATTTTTATCTTCGGTGTCATTTTTATCGGTGATCGCTACTTCGAGTGGTTATACCGACTTCGGTTAAATACCTTCAGAATGGATCAGTGTGTACAGTAGTGTATACTTCGTAATTCATAGTAACGAATCTGCATTCGGAATCACTCAGTGCAATATTAGCCACCACCCACTCTTATTTCGAGGATTGGTGCAATTTATCGTTCATCATATCCCAAGCGATGCGAGTACAGAAATTCGATTTGGAACTCGCATCGCCGATCCCATTCCACAAGTAGGATCTGTTTCTTTACAAATACCGATCTCGTCGAGGACGCGCAATTTGTCCAGAACAAATTACCACCCTCCGTGTTGATCGGTAGAAAATCAGCAACGAAATTCAACCTGAACCCGAACTCGAGTCACTTGGGGACGAAGCTACGCGTATGTAGATCAACGGACGAGTTGTTAGCTCGATCCGGCCTATTATCGTTGAACCAAAGCCATCTACTGGCTGGCAGCGTGCAACCGCGTGGCTGCGCTCGCGCCGGCCGCCACGGACCGCGCGCATCTTTCGATCGCTTAATGGTAATTCCTTTTTCGCCGGAGGAACATTATTTCGCCGGGAAAATTACGTAGACAGCGGCCGATTATCCGCGGGTACGATCGTGTGTCCTGCGCCGATCAATCGGGGATTTCTGATCGTCCCCGCCGCCGTAATGCGATTAACTCGGTTACATGCGTCGCGAGTATTATGCTGCGCGCGTCCTGACACGCGCACCGCGCGTCGAACCAGTTCCCCTGCACGTCTCTATTAGAACATATTTTCCCGTGGACAGGGGTCCGACTTGAACACGATAACTGCTACGAAAATCTTGAGCGTTCCGCGCAACACATGTTCCTTCGTAGCGAAGATAAACAGGAATAATCGTCGATTAATTGGTACCGCGACCCTTGCATTACACGATCATCAACTCACGTTATTAAACATTTTTATTCGCCATCAATTATCTTCTCAGAAGCGTTATCGGCGACTGCCATGGAAGTTAACGCGTTAATAAAACACCCAGTAATTTCAGGGTATAAAATACATACGCCAAACGACGTTTCATGGAATCGTTCACTGGAAATTCACTCTGTTTCGGTACGCTGAAAACGAATTAATTACAAAAGGTATACGCAGTATCGTTGCATTCGAAATATTCGATTTCGCCTGGTAATGAATGAACAGAACCTCGCAGGGAAAGGAAACCTTTACTTCGACTTCGCGGAACGAAAGCGCGCGATCCAGGTGTTAAAGTGTTAATACGCGAGTTGAAAGTCACGAGCGCGACTGGGATCTTTTGTATCTGGGCCATCGAGCAATCCATTTCGGCGTGAATCGGCGAAGAAGCCGGGGCGCGGCCAGCCATCGCGTGACTGCCACTTCAATTCTTCTCGACGTTGTTCGGTTGATGTCCGCGTTTAATCCATTCGGCCGCGGCCAAGGAGTTCCCCCGTTTCGCCGATATTCTAGAAGCATCGCGATGATAGCGATCTTCCGCAGACCGGCGCGGATCAATATGCCTACGCTTCAGTATTTTATTCGTGCGCCGTTTGAATAAGCTTCGACGGCGTCGTTGTTCTCTCGCTGTACGACAACGATGCCGGTGAATACGCGATTCCGAGCTTGCGTATGGCAGATTCATTCCGCGGACGTTTACTCGTTTGTTTATTTCCTCGATGCTGCCGAGGTGTCTGAGGTGTGTGCCGCGCCTCTCAATGCAGCCCGCTGATAGCGGGGTTGATGATGGCCGCGGTGGGACGGGATTTATTCGCGCACATCGTGGTGCATTACACTTGGTATTAGTTGGCTATTCCGTTTTGTAGGACTGGAAGCTAGAATATCTTCGGAATTATTTCTGTGGAAATGGAAAGGGAGGAATAATTCATTCACATGTGGCTATGAGCATTAGGCGAATGATGGGATATTCCCTTCCCGTAATTTTATTTCGTCTCGTTGCGTGATGTAATGGTGCAGAGCGGGTTCGAGGAAACTTCAATTTCAGCGATTTCGTGTTTCTCTTGTAGCTGAATTGAGAGAAAGAAATGCGTGTGAGGTATTTTAGTTGCGAGGATAGGTAGAACGTTGCATGCGTGCGCCGTAAAAGGTTCAGATCGATATCTCTAATCGTTTCGGGGAAATCACGACCGCCGCTTTAAGAAATGCACTTTCGAGAAAAACAGCGTTCCTGATTTAGTTCAGCTTCGCGACACTCTCGTTTCCTTGGTGTCGATGTGTCTAACTCGAAGGTTTCGTGTTTTAACAGTACTTCTTAGGGGATGCTTTTCAAGCTTCGAATATTGTATAAGAGTTTCCTTAGACGATTAAGAATTCGTTATTTCAATCTATTTTACTGAATATTTAGTTACAGACTTCCCGCTTCGACATTTAGATACAGTTCAAAAATATCCTTAGAGCACCCTATGTTTACTCCGACTAAGATTGTTTGTCTCACCGTGCCTGCTGCGCATCTGTAAATATTAGTCACTAGAAGCAGCGGCACCTCCAAAACAGCTTCGTTTGAGTCATAAATTACACCGGCCAAAATTCTAAAATACTCCGCTTATTTATTCTTTTATAAACTGTCCTTAATCAATAGAAATCCTGAAAAATTACCTAAGAATCAATTAAAAACTTGGAATTTCCATCTTCTACGCAATCTTCTTCGGGTAATAATAACGATTCCAAAATATATGGACGATGATCGTTCTCCCGGCGCATCCAACGATCCGCAGGGTCCATTTGGTAAGCGATTCACGACCACACGGCCCGCTGACATTAGACATGCTCCGACGAATTTTAACGGAAGGAAGTCGGCCATTTATGTCCGGTCGCGAGACCACGTGCCTCCGGCTTTTAAACGTCAGTTGCCGGCGAATCCTAAACGCATTTCGGGGCCCGTGGTCGACGCTTGAGCTGGCCTGTAGAATCTACGCACAATGCGCAGACAGTTCGCGTCAACCTAGTCCGAAAATTAAGGTCGCTGGGTTTGTGAGTCAATGGTGCACTCGGTTTTATTAACCGGCTTGTTGTTAACCACCGTGTAAATTATC